TTGAACGTGACGTCGTATTGAAACGATCGTCGGACCCCTTTCGTCGGGAGACACGTTGATTCAAACATCGGATCCATTTTTTGAGTCTCGACACAATCGGTGTCTTGGAGAACACTTGTTTATTAAAAATGCCTTTTTGCTAACAACAATCTCTATCGGATATGAGACTTTGTTAAAAGTTTTATGATAATTTTTTTTATTTTTCTTTCTTTCTTTATTTTTTTTAATTTTTTATTTGGTAGAAAATTGTCATCATTCCCTAAAGAAATTATGAGACTTAGCAGCTTCTTCACCCATTACTTACCAAGCCTAATTACCAAAGAAATAAATTAAAGTCACACTAACCAAATAAATGAAAGAGAAAAAAATTCAAATATTGAAATTTAAAAAATAGACATGTATAAAATAAGTTCAAATTTAAAATCACATTAATTAAATATATTTACGTACAATTAAAATATTAAATTCTAAGTTAACATAAATTAACAAACATGCATAAAATAAACTCAAGATTAAAAATTACATTAATTAAAATAATTAAAGACAATTCAATATCTAATTTAAATATGAAATAACAATATCCATAAAAATAAAGACTTTGTTTTTTGTTTTTTTTTTTTTTTTGGGTCGGACTGTCCAGCCCACCCAAAGGATAAATTTCGGGCTGGACAATCCAGCCCTATCCCCAGTGAGTTTGGGCTCGCTTAAAATAAAAGACTAATTTTTTTTTTGACCCAAAAACATAACCCAAATCTAGGCTTTTAAAATTTTGGATCAAAACCTCCTTTTCCATTTTTTTCTCTCTCTTTCCTGCCCCTTTCTTTCTTTTTCTTTCTTTTCCTTTCTTCTTCTTCTTCTTTTGCCCGAAATCCAAACTCCATGGACGGGGCGAACCTCTTTCCCTTCCTTTTTCTTTTCTCCTCCTCTTTTCTGGTCTTCCTTTCTTCTTCTCTTCTTTTTTCTCGAATCCTCTTCTCCTCCTCCTCTTTTTCTTCTTCTCTCTTTTTCTATCAGATCTGCCATGGACGAACCAGAACGGGTTCGTCCATGCTTCCCCCTTTCTTTCCTTCCTCTTCCCTTCTTTTCTTCCTTCCTAAATGTCTTATTCCCCTCGAGATTGAAAACCCTAAATCAATTTTTTTCAAAAAATTTTCAATTTGGCCGAACCTAAGTTTTGATTTTTCTTCAAAATTTTCTTTCAATTAGACCTAATTGACTTGATTTCAAGTGAAATCAAGTCAATTCAAACCCTTTAGGACTCGAAAAACCCCCAAATCAATTTGTTCAAAAATTATCAAGAACCTTGGATTTAAATTGACATTAATTCAGCTTCAATTTAGGGTTTAAACCCCAAATTGAAACTGTAATTGCCTTTAATTAGGTTTAATTTGTCCCTCTTGAACTCAATTCGCAACCAAATTCAAAAACCCCCAAATTTCAAAACACAAATCTAACTTCTATCAAAATCGAAATCAACGAGAAATTAAATAGTATTACCAAGAAGGATTGATGAAAATGGGTATGGATTGCAGCTTCAATTTGGGTAAATTCAATCTCTTTCCCTCTTTTCAGATTTTTTCTTTTTTTGCTACTGAATTCCTCCCTTTTTTCTTTCTTTCAATTTCATGCTCTTAATTTTAGACTTACTGCCTTTTTTTTTTTTTTTTTTATGTTGTGACTTGTGCATATATATATGTCTGTGAATGCTTGGTTGGTTCCTCCACTATGATGGTGGGGGATTTTCTGCAGGTATGTCAAGTGGGGGTTGGATGGGATTGGTTTGTGTCCTGCGCAGGGTGGCTGTGCATGGTGGTTGTGCTGGAATTGTGGGCTAAGGCAGTAGGGTGGTGCTACAGGAGTTGTAGCAGTAGGGTGGTGGAGACTGATTTAGGTGATGAGAAAGCTGTTGGGAATTACAACAATAAGGTGGTTGGCTTGATTTTGTTGACTGGAGGGGAGATTGTGATGCAGGGACAAGTTGGGGTTGACAAAATAGCTTGACAGAAAGGTGAGATTGTGGGTTGTAAAGAAGGTCGGTAGTGGAGATTGTAGACTGCTGGAGTTGTGATTGTTGACTTGGGGAGAGACTGTTGAAATTTGCAACAATAGGATGGTCTAGGTGGAGGCTGCAAGTGGAGGAAGATTATGAGCTGTAAAGTAGGTTGGAATTGTTGATTTGGAGGGGCTATGCAGGAATTGCAGGGATAAGGGACAGCAATTTGCAATTCAGGTTGGGAAGATGGCAAGAAATTGATCGAAGATGCAAAAGATCAAGAGATGCATGGAAACTGTCCCTCCATTTTTTTTTTTTTTTTTTGTATTTTTCCATTTTTTGTATTTTTACTTTTTGGTAATTTTGTTCTGAATTCTAAATAAATAAAAGAAAATATTTTTTTATTTTATACAAAACAAGCATAAATTTAAATAATAAAAATAAAATAAAATAAACTAAAATAATATACAAAAGTAAAATTTTGAGGTATGACAGTTCATGTCACGACTCTCGCTTTTACTGTTAAGCATTGGATTCTGCTTAATGCTTTTTAAAAGAGATTGACGAAGAACATTAGAATATGTTTTGTACAAATTCCAATAACAGCACTCAGAAGAAAAATCAGGACATCAAAATAGATTTAGCGAATCTAATCAAAACCTGATGTATCATTACAAATCATTACAGGGATATTTTTTTTCAATAATTGTCCAGGTAAACAAAATACTAGCCCTGCAAGATACTTTTGTTAGGTTTCTATCGATTACAACGAGAGCAGCATATGTATGTGTCATGTAGCTGGTTTTTTAACTTTCCTAACAGTTAAAAATGAGTGGACACGTATGAATATTTTCTTTTTTCTCCAATTTTTTTTAATATTCTTTAATTATTTATTTTTTAACATTTGGGGAGAAAAAAACAATTTCTGAAAAAAAACATCTATAAAATTTGATATGTTTTAGTTGTTAATAAATTTAATATGTTTTACTTATATGTTAAAAAAAGATCAGGACATGAAAATATAGATTTAGCGAAACTAATCAAAACCTGATGTATCATTACAAATCATTACAGGGATACTTTTTCAATAATTGTCCAGGAAAACAAATTAGCAGCCCTGCAAAATCCTTGTTAGGTTTTATCAACTATAACGAGAGCAGGATATGTGGTCATGTAGCTGATTTTTTAACTTTCTCCATAGTTAAGAATGTGTCAAAACTTATGAATATTTTTTTCCTTCAAAACTTTTTTTAATATTTTTTAATTATTTAATTTTTAACATTTAGGAGGAAAAAACAAATTCCAAAAAAAAAAAGCATCTATAAAATTTGATATGTTTTATTTGTCGATAAATTACACTTATATTTTAAAATTGATGAAAATGAAGAATCTAATTCAAATAAAAAAAATAATTGAAGGAGATCCTATTCAAAATTGAAAATTAAAATGCCTATTCTCAAATAATTTAAAATTCAGGAAAAATTTAGACAATTTTGCCCTGAATTTTTGCTATTTAAATCTTAAACAAACTATCTATATGTAATAATAGTATTGTTATATTCATAAAAAGAATTTCCACCACTTGTTTTATATCGAGAAAACCAACTTAATTACCATCCAAAATAAGCTTCTACGTACAGATCCTTTAATTGAATTTTATAGTAATAGTGTGTCCAGAGTTAGTGCTCTTGAATCTTTTGTGCAACAGAACTGAGAAATGTATGGCATCCATGCAAAGATGCTGAAAAGGACCAAAATGGGCAAATCATTCTATGAAAAGAGCCATAGAAAACAAGGCTCAACACATGGAAAGCATATCGCTTGGTTGAAGTAAATGCAGGATTGGATCTGTTTCTCAAAAAGTGAAAGTTCATTCCAGATTTCAACTATAAATTATAGACAGCTGTGATTTTAGCTAGGAAGCGGGGGCAGAGCAATTGAAATTCTGAAATGCCCTAGTTTTTTGTTTTTTTGTTTTTTTTTTTTAAACTCAGAATGAACGAATTTTCATGAATTAAATATTGAATATGAAATCACGCAGCCTCAACAAATAATTCTCATTTATCTATCCATTTGGTATCAAAATCAAATTTCTTTTTGTGCACAAAACATTTTGAGAAATCCTTTGTGAGATCGAATAAGCTTAATCTCGAAAATGACATAAAACTGTTCGTCTTCCGAGCTTGATATGCAGAGAGCTGGGTTGATTAATACCGTAATCATTATTTTTTTTCTTTTTTTTTTAAAAACGTTCAAGGTATATGAGACCTAATGTTCATACACCAAACTCAATATTCATACTTGAATTGACACACGCACATATATATATAATCATAATTCAAAATTCAGGTAAAAACTGATTCTAAATTCACTTATTGCTTCAGTCAAAACTTCAAAGATTTTGATAAAGGTAAAGTTAATTGGACCTACATATTTGTGCATTATTGTTGCTTTATTTAAAGCATTTATACTATATTCCAATCGTTTCGCTAGACTTGGAACCAACAACTGTATCATCACTGTTTTCTTTTTTGCTTCCTTTTGATCCACAGGCATTTCTGTTCCTCAGCTTCTTTCCATTGATTAACTATCTACTCTCATAGACATAGATACCCACTTTCATTCTCTAGTGACTGACTCTCTTTGCTCTTCGCTCCATCAATCTTCATTAATCAGTAAAACAATATCTCTTCGCTTTCAGTTGTCCCTTCATTTTTCGAAGTTTTTGGTATTTGGTGTTTTTTTTTTTTTTGGTGTCTAATCTTTAGAAGAAAAAAGAAAATTTGCCTGTTTCCTTGAATCTTGAACTTGTAGAACTTTTAATCATTCTCTCTTGCTCTTTTTGCTTGTATCCACTCTTAAAGAAAGAAAGGAAAAAAAAAAAACAGAGAGCATTGGTTGTTTCATTTTCTTCTTGGTTTTGTAGTTAAGCTTTCTTTTGCTTGTAAACTCCCAAAAAAAAAAAAAAAAAAAGCGGAGACAGAAATCCTTGAGAAACGAAACGGCAATGGATATCGTTCTTGCCGTTTTATCTCCTGTTGTTGAGCATACAATTGGTCCCATTAAAACACACATTTGTTATGCATTATATTGCAAAAGCAACCTTCACAATCTGAAGGAGGAAGTTGACAAGTTGAAGACTGCGCAAGAAAGTTTGCAACACAGGATGGATGAGGAAACAAGAAATGGGAAGGAGATCGAAGAGCACGTTCGGAATTGGCGTCTTAAGGTGGATGATATCATTCAAAAGATGGAAAAGGAACTTGCAGAAGATGAAGAGCGAGCAAAGAAGAAATGCTTCGTTGGACTGTGTCCAAATTTCAAATCACGCTACCAGCTTGGCAAGAAAGCAAAAGAGGAATTGGCAACAGTTACAACTAAAATTGATGAACAGGCCAAATTTGGTTCAATTTCTTACCGTGCTGCTCCACCGAAGATGGGCGTCACTTCTACCGGAGGTTATCAGGCCATGGAATCAAGAAAGTCAATTTTTAAGGATGTTATGAATGCCTTAAAAATTTCTGGGGTGAATATGGTTGGGGTGTATGGAATGGGCGGTATAGGCAAAACCACGTTGGTGAAAGAGGTCGCCAGAGAAGCGATAGAGAACAAGTTATTTAACAAGATGGTTTTTGCCAGTGTAACCAGGACCCCGGACACCATGAAGATTCAAGGGGAAATTGCAGATCAACTTGACTTAACATTTGACAAGGAAAGCGAATTGGGAAGAGCAAATCGATTACGCGAGAGGTTAGAAAAAGAGAAGAAGATTCTTATTGTTCTAGACGATTTATGGAAGAAGCTTGATTTAGAGGCAGTTGGGGTTTCGCTTAAGGATGAACAAAAGGAATGCAAGATGCTTCTGACATCAAGAGAATATGATGTTTTATCGAGTGGAATGGATGTTCAAGAGAAATTCTCAATTAGTGCTTTAAATGAAGAAGAAGCTTGGGGCCTATTCAAGAAGACAGCAGGTGGTAATGTTGAGGATCCACAAGTGCAACCCATAGCACTTAAGATCGCAACAAAATGCGCAGGTTTGCCTGTGGCCATTGTAACCATTGCTAAGGCTTTAAAGGATAAGAGCTTGCCGCAGTGGAAGGATGCATTGCGAGAACTGGAAAGACCATCTCCAACGAACTTTACAGGAGTGCAAGGGGAAGTGTATAGCGCCATAGAGCTAAGTTATAAGCATCTTGGAAGTGAGGATTTAAAGTCAACTTTCCTTGTTTGCAGTCGAATGGGTTATAATGCTTCCACTGAAGACTTGTTGAAATATGGTATGGGGGCAGGTTTGTTTTCTGATGTTGCTACAGTAGAAGAAGCACGAAATAGACTGCATTCACTGCTTCATAAACTAAAGACCTCTTCTCTGTTGCTTGATACTGATACTAGCAAGCAATTTTCAATCCATGATGTTGTTCGTGATGTTGCCATATCAATTGCCTACAGGGACCGCAATGTATTTGTGAAAAGTGATGCGGTTGAATTGAAATGGCGTGATAAGGATTCATTAAAGAAGTGCTCAGAAATTTGGTTGCATTGTAATAGCATTGGGCTTCCTGAAGATTTGAAATATCCGCAGCTCAAGGTTTTTATTGTGAACAGTGGAGATCCTTCATTGGAAATATCTCAAAATTTTTTTGGGGGAATGCAAAAACTTAAAGTCTTGGGTTTGTCTAATTTGTCTTTTTCATCCTTGCATTCATCTCTTCATTTACTAAAACACCTTCGTTCACTATGCCTTCATCAGTCTTCACTGGGAGAGGGAGATCAGATAGCAGTTATTGGGGAGCTAAAGAAATTGGAAATCCTCAGCTTTGTCAAATCTGATGTTAAACATTTGCCAAGAGAAATAGGGCAATTGACCAAGCTAAAATTGTTAGATTTGAGTGATTGTTCTGAACTTGAGATGATTGCACCAAATGTTATTTCAAGTTTGTCACTGTTGGAAGAATTGTGCATGGGCAACAGTTTTCATCATTGGGATATTGAAGGAAAAAATAATGCCAGTCTTGTTGAGTTGGAACATTTGTCTCACCTGACTAATTTGGAGATACATATTCCTGATTCCCGTGTTATCTCCAAAGACTTCTCTACAAACTTGGAGAGACATAGAATAGTGATAGGAGGTGATTGGAGTTGGAATTGGAATTCGGATGGTGTTTGTGAAACCTTAAGAAAATTGAAACTGGAGTTCAAAGAAAGCACTGATAATTTGAAGCATGAGATTTTGATGTTGTTGAAGAGAATTGAAGATCTGTATTTACTTGAGGTAAATGGTGTTAAGAGTGTCATTGAACTGGATAAGGAAGGTTTTCTACATCTGAAGCACCTCCGTGTGGATAATAGTCCTGAGGTTCAATATATCATTGACATGATAAATGGGATTCCTTCTAACGTCTCTCTCTTTCCCATGTTAGAGTCTTTGTATCTTTATAATTTGGCATCGTTAGAGAAGATTTATCATGGCATACTCAGGGCACGATATTTCGGCAAACTGAAAATCCTACAAGTGAGAAACTGTGATAAATTGAGAAGCCTTTTCTCGTTCTCCATGGCACTAGGCCTTTTGCAGCTTCAAAGCATCACAATCACTTCTTGCCAGAACATGGAAGAGGTTGTTGCTGAGGAAAGTGAACAATTTGACAACATAGCAACCAATGTGATGGAGTTCACTCAGTTGCGCTTCATGTCATTAAACAATTTACCGCTTCTCAGAAACTTCTGCTCCAGAGAGAAGACATCTTCCCTATCTCAAACACATCCAAAGTCAACAACAAGTGGCATGGAATTGGGAGAAGTGACATTGGAGGATGATATGCAAAGTCCTACACCACTTTTCGATGAAAAGGTATTTGCATGTCCTTGTCTATATATTACATAGTAATTCAGAAAATGAGAGTAAAAGTGAAACAACGAAAACAAGATTATTTGAGGAAGATTTGTTTTTCCTTTTTTCTTTTTTTTTTCCTTTTTGCCTAACGAGAGTACTCTCATTACAAAGAGGTTCAATTGTCTTGGGTAGTAGTGGATATATAGCTTTTCCCATTCCAAAATTCCTTCAGAAACTCCAGCTAGCATGCATATTGTATAATTTTTGCCATGTTGAAAGCCTTTGCCCATGCATAAAACATTAGTATTAGAGAAGAATCTTAAAATTCAAAGTGATGCAAAACCTCAACACTATTAATTGCCATCAGTGGAAAATGCTGTAGATTCTAGCCAGCAATTCCTAATTCCAGGCCTGCCCCTTGGTCTCATGATAGGTTCACGCCCTTTTGTCTAAGGTTTATCGTTTTAATAATAGTTTTTTTTGCTCTAATGATAGCTGGCATTCTTCTTGCTATGGAACGACGACACTCATTTCATGTCTTTGAACCAGAGAATAGTACTGTTCTTGATGAAATAAAAAATTGTCCATGCAGATTGTTTTTCCGAACTTGGAGGTTTTGGAACTGGAATCAATGAAAATGGAAAGGCTATGGCATGGCCAGCATCCAGCAATTACAGCTTCCATTCAAAATTTACAAAGATTGGATGTGTGGAAATGTGACAGTCTGAAATATATATTTTCCACTTCTATGGTTAAAAGTCTTGTGCAACTCGAGCATCTTAGCGTTAGGAATTGCGAGTCCTTGGAAGAGATAATAGTAACAGAAGCATCAGACGGAGAAGAAACAACGAGTAAGATGCTATTTCCAAAACTAGGAGTCATTTCGATCTTCAATCTTCCAAAACTCAAACAGTTCTGTACTGGTTGTCTTCTTGATTGTCCATTGTTAAAAGAACTGGAAATATATGTGTGTTCTGGCTTGGAGACATTCATCTCTGAATGTGGAAGCCCGAACGTGACAATTAGTGATGAAGAAGCACGACAAGTAAGCTTGAAGGAGAAACGCCACAATGCCATACAACCTCTCTTTAACGAAAAGGTGATTTCTTTTTTTCGTTTCTATTTTCCCCTTTCGTTCCTTCCATTTCCTCTCTCTCTCTCTAACTCTATTCTATGAAAATAATTAGTTTTATATTCTAAAAAAATTATTACTTTTATTTTCTAAGTTGCCTCAAAAAAGCCAAAATCTTAACGGAAAATTTGAATTTTGTCATTTAAATTCATTTCATTTCCTTTTACTTGTGGTTGGTTGTTTGTAAAACTAAATAAAAATTGATAAGTTGTAATTTGCAAGCTTTTTTTTTTTTTCAAAAAAGAACTGTGAATTCTAAAAGGCCTAAGAGACTATTCAATCATTGAAAAACATTCTTAATAAAAAATTATGAAATTTTTTTTAATAAATATAAAATTTTCAGCTTGAAAAAAAAACTCTTTTTTTTGTTATAGTGGAGAATTCGGAAACAATTTTTTAGTTTTTTTAATTTTTGTGAAAAGTTGGATAAATAGGAAACTAAGTTTTTGAAAGAAATTAAATAATTTTCATTTTGAATTAGTAAAAGCATATTCTATAGTTTCCTTTTTTCTTTAGAACTGAAAAAGTTTTCACAAATAAACACAAACTAATGCTTTCTCCATGTTCATTCACATGAAACTAAAATCCATGATCATGTGATTACTCGTGGATCAACAACTATCTTTCATCTATTTTAAGTTTATTATTATAAATTATATAAATCACAAATTTAAAATAAACACAAAGTTATCATCAGTCGTATTTATTCTAATTTATAATTTATATACAATACCTGTTAATTGTGAATATTTTTATATATTGGATAATTTTGGTTGATGGACAGCTGTGTGTCAAATGCATTACCAATTGTTAATTAAGGCCGAATTAAACAATGACCCGACCTTGTTTTCCTTTCTTATGGTAACTTGGAAATGGTTTTTTCGATCACATAAATCAACAAAAATACAAATTCTTCACATATGGGTATAGCCCAAAAAAAGTAGGAGGCCCATTATCCTAAACAACAACTAATTCGGCCAAGCCCAAATCTGCTTTCAAAATAAATAATTTTTTCCCCATATATCTATAGTAGTATTAAGGAGATTTATTTATTTATTTATTTATTTTTTCATGTCACTATGATTTCCATTTACTATATACCTTTAATTTTATATAATTGGAGCCTTTGAATAATTCTGTCTTGTTTTCCTACATCTGTATTCCCGTTCCTCTACCTTGGGTCGTGTACAATCTTCTTCGATCTGCCTATTAATTTCTTCAATTATTGTTAACGAACTGGCATGGCTATTGGCAGGTTGCATTCCCTACCTTAACTACAATTGATATCTCTTCCATCGATAACTTGGAAAAGATATGGCACGATCAACTGGCTGAAGGTTCCTTTTCTGAACTAAGATCATTGAGTATTTATAGATGTCATAAGCTGGTGAATGTTTTTCCATCAATCTCGCTAAGAACATTCCAGAGACTAGAGGTGCTGCAGATTGAGAATTGCAATTTGTTAGAAGAGATATTGGAACTTGAAGGGCCGAGTGTTGAAGGAAGTAATTATGCTTCTTTGGTCTTTCAGTTGAGAGACTTGACCTTAAGTGATCTACCCAAATTGAAGCATATATGGAATAATAATCCTCCAGGAACACTCAGCTTCCAGGATGTACGTACAGTGAGGGTTTGGGTATGTGATGATTTGAAGAATATCTTTCCATTCTCTATTGCTAGAAACCTTCCTCAACTTGAAAAGCTTGATATATACCAGTGTGGGGTGGACGAAATTGTTGCCAAGTCAGAAGGTGATGAAACAGCCCCTCTTTTTGGGTTTCCTCAGTTGACTTCATTGGATTTTGACAGTCTGCCAAAATTGAGGAACTTCTATCCAGGGAAACATACGTGGGAATGTCCGAAGTTAAAAAGCTTGGCGGTGTCTGGCTGTGGCAGTGTAAAGTTATTTGGTTCAGAATTTCTTGATTTCCAAGAAATTCAAGTGGAAGCCCAACATGACAACCCAATTCAGCAACCCCTCTTTTTTGTCGAAAAGGTATGAATTTGCATTATACTTTCTTTCCTTTTCCTTTATCCATTCCTCTTTTAAGGTAACAGATACTTTCAGCCTCAATGTGTATTAATAAATGAACTAAAACTAAATGTAGTTTCCTTCTAACTAAGCCCTTTTTTTTGGCGTTTTGTGATTTTTTTTTTTTTTTCATTTAGGTTCCTGTTATGCGATTTTACTTTTATTTTGGTCATTAGATTTTTATCATGTGTGGCTTTTGTCCCTGCATGATGTAAAGTTTATTTTTTTTTTTTTTACCTTTTCATTTCGGTTATTATATTATATTTTTGTTTTGGTCCTTTAAAATTTAAAATTATTGTTATTGTTTTATGTTAATTTTCATTAAACATTTTATCAAATTATTAAAATCAGGCCATTTGATTTTATTTTAATACATTATTGAAGTAAATTAACATGTCTATTTATTTAAATTATTTTTTCTGTCTAGCTAATAATCTGATTTTTTTGTTGAAAGAAATTAGATATATTTAAGAGTGTAAGTGAAAAATTTTTATAAGTTTTGATATCAAATATTCAATTAAACATAGTTTCACTACAGCTAAGTTTTTTTTTTTTTTTTTGGCTTTTTGTGATTTTTTTTATCCCGCATTCTATAATCTTACCTCTATTTTGGTTATTAGAGTTTTGTCATGTGTGATTTTATCCATGCAAACTGCAAAATTTTCTTGACCTTTTTGGTTTTTTAGATTATATTTTTATTTCAGTCCTTTAAACTTTAAAATTATTCTTATTGTGCTCGTTTTTATTGTTGTATTATATTTTTTCTTAAAATATTTTATTGAATTATCAAAAATAGGCTTTTTGATTTAATTTTAATATATTATTGAAGTAAATTAACGTGTCTATTTGTGTAATAATTAGAATGTTCTTACATTATTGGAATAAATTAGCAAAAATTTCCTTTCCTTCTTTAATCCAGAAAATTAGAACTTCTATAATAATTTACTCCAGTATGCAAAAAAGAAAAAAAATTATTGGAGTAAATGCTTTTTATTGGAGTCATTATTTTGTATCTTTCTTTCTTATTATTGCCAAATTAAAAGGTTAATCTGAGATCTTTTATTTTTCATTCTTATAAAGCAGATTCCTCTATAAATTTTAAAATAATTCATTTCTATACACTTTAAACCGTGTTATTATTACTATTACATAAATTATTAAAATTCTCCATTTTATATGATTAAACACCCGAGAAGGCTGTGTAGCTCTGTGGCATCGCGGGAGGCCTACTAACTCTTAACTCTAAATTTTTTCCTTTTTTGGTTGATTGGTGAAATCTTAACTATGCTTTTGATTGAGCCATCTGCAGGTGTTCTCCAACTTGGAGGAATTGTCATTAGGTGGCCAATACACCAGTAATAATTCAATAATGTCGCACCGCCAACTTGAAGCAGGCTTCAATTCCACATTGAAAGTTCTAAAGCTGCACAATTTTAAGGGAAAATCAGATCGTATTCCATTTGGTTTCCTACAAAGACTGCGTAATGTGGAAACACTCACTATCGAATCCAGTTCTTTCAAGAGGCTATTCTTGAATGAAGGAATTGTTGAAGAGGAACATAAATGGAAGCCTTCATTGAAAGAAGTGTCTGTGCAACGATGCCCCAACATGAAGATTTTCTCTCCAGGACTGTTAAGCACGCCAAAGCTGCGGGGAGTACGGGGTCCTATGGATAAAAAGTGGTGGCGGGGTAACCTTAATGCTACTATACAACAATTGTACACAGAAATGGTATGTACTATTACTAAATAATTCTTGCATCATGAATCTTGCTCAACTCTTCCCTTTATTTCTTTTAAGTATGAATACGTATGTTGATAATAGCTTATGCTTTAACTTAACTAATGCAATAATTTGGTTGGGCAGATTGGATTCGATGATGAAAGGAGGTTGCAGCTCTCTGATTTTCCTCGTTTGAGAGAGATGTGGCATGACCGAATGCCCTTCAACTTCTTTTGTGACTTTACATGAGCTCATAGTGGATGAATGTGCATTTGTCTCCAACGCCATACCATCAAATCTGCTAAAGTTGATGAAGAATTTGGACAGTATTACTGTGAAAAAATGTGATTCTGTTGAAGGAGTTTTTGATTTGATAGGACTGAATGCTGCAGAAGAGCACCTTAAGCTGTTGTCCAGATCTATTGGAATTGCGCTTGATTGATCTATCGAGACTGATGCATTTATGGAACATGGATCCTCAACGAATCTTGGACTTGAAAAACCTTCGATTTCTGCAAATCCAGAATTGTGGCAGCTTGAGAAATATATTTACACCATCCATGGCATTTGGCCTTGTGCAACTCAACAAGATAGAAATTGGAAAGATGTGCCATGATGGAAGTAATCATCACAAAAGAGGGACAAGACGAAGCAGCAATGGATAAAATCTTATTCCCTTCACTGGAGGTGATTGTTCTCGACTCCTTACCCAAATTGACCGGTATATGTTCAGGTACTGCTATTCTGGAAATTCCATCCTTGGAAAGGATTAGCATAGACAATTGTCCAAATATGAAGGCATTTGTCTCCTCATTTCTAAAGGAACAAGAGCCACGTTTGGCTAGTGAAGGAGAAAAACAGAGACTGGATAAGGGAGACCATGATATTTCCACTCCACCACTTTTCAATCAAAAGGTCAGTTATTCTTTGATGCTTTTTCGGAACTTACTATAAAACCTTACTTCCATTTAGAAGAAATTAGTTTATCTGATGCTCACCAAAACAAAGAGCCATTTGGTTTTTGTTTCCCATGTGAAAACCACAAGTCTATTGAATTCTAGTTGAACCCTAGTTTGAACACTCAGTTCAGATCTCCTTGCAATTATAATGCTTATGGTAGGGACTGCTAGTATGTGCAATTCTTTACGATAAATTTTTGATAATTGCAGACTGGCATGCGAAAGAACACTAGCTCATAATTTCTTGTAACTTGAATAGGTTTCCCAGGTTGCATTTTCAAACTTGAAAAATTTGAGGATGGGATGGATTGATATCATGGAGGTTATACAGCATGACCAATTTCGAACAGAGTACTTCTGCAAACTGGAAGTTCTTGAGCTGGTGCAGTTTCCTAGTGACTATGTTGATTTTCCATTCCATTTTCTTCGAAGATTCACCAATTTAAAAAATCTCGTTTTGAGTGATGCGGCTTTCAAAGAAATAGTCCTGCATGAAGAGACGGATGGTGAGGAAAAGCATATGGGGATTGTTGTGCAGTTAAAACAATTAGAGCTGTCTAAACTGCCGAAACTCGTATATCTATCTAAGGAAGGTCCAGAGTCTCTTCAGATTTTTCAAAAGCTGGAAACTCTAAAAGTGCTGGAATGTGGTGTAGTGAAAATTTTAATGCCATCCGCATTATCTTTCCAATGTTTACAGATTCTTGAAGTGTCAAATTGTCATAGATTGATAAATTTGATGACTTCCTCAACAGCTAAACAACTTGTGGAGCTCAAGAGGATGAGTATAACTAAATGTGAAATGATTGTAGAAATAGTGGCCAGTGAGGAGAATGAAGTTGAAAATGAGGTTGTTTTTCACAAAATGGAACATATGAAGCTCCATTCTTTGCCAAGCCTCACAAGCTTCTACTCGAGGAACTGTGCATTCATGTTTCCATCTTTGGCCGAGGTGCTTGTGGTAGAATGCCCCAATATGAAATATTTTGCTCCAGGAGTCATAAGCACACCAGAGCTGGATAGAGTTCTACTTACAGAAGAGGATGACAGATAGGGTATTGGGAGGGTAACCTCGATGCTACTATACGAAACATATTCATAGATATGGTATTACACCACTATATAAATAGTTCTCGTGCTCATTCCAGTCTTTTCCTTAAATTACTATTTCTTTACTTACCTCATTTCAACTATTTTGCATTCTGCAGGCTGATGGATCGGCACAATCAAAACTACCAAGCTCATCAAAGCAGCCCACCTGCGAGACCACTGATGCTAATGACCTAAAAATTGTCTCTGAGCGGCTAGCTTCTGAGGATTTGCCTGTCACTAAGAATCCAGATTCTAGTAAACATCTTCTTCTTATGGTTGAAACTATACTTGAAACTAAAGAGCATGCCATTACAGGTGCCTCCATAGAACCTGAGATCGCTCAATTGACCTCAGCTTCTCAAGATAGTCATGCAACTTCAAATGAAAAGGTAGTTTTCTTTTCTCTCTTGGAACAGATTCCTTGATATGAGTTTAAGTACCTACTCCCAACTGAATGCAGGAAGATCCTGCTCAAGGTCAAAATTCCTCAACTCCTGTGGATATTGAATCTCACATCTCTCTCCAAGTTCAAAAAGATCCTCAAGCAGCTGATAAGGTAGTTTTCCCTAATCAAATTGAGCCAGTTGTACTCTACTTCAAGCTTCTTTAGAAGATGATGATGACTTACCTAGTATTTCCTGCTGCCATCTTTCCTGCTTCTTCAATTCAGCAGATCAATTTGCCAGCTTTAAAAGGCCAAGATTCTTGGGCAACTTCAAACAATCAGGTAGGTCTCATTTCAAACCTAGAGCAGAGTTGTTAGCATGATTCTGAATTCAAACAGCATTGTGAATGCAGGAGGATGCTTCACAGGAAAATTTCTCAACTCCAACGAGTGCTGAAACTTACATCTCTCCTCAAGTTCAAATGGATCTTTCAGAAATTGATAAGGTAATTTTGTTGGTGGCAATAAGCCAGTTATACCCGTCTTTGTTTTCCAGACTATGGCCCATGTACAATTACCAATAGGGTGAATTCTCGCAGGACCAGATTTTGCATGCTTCTTCAATTGAGAGTTGCAGCAACTTAGTCCCTACATCTCCAGCAAGTTCTGTTCAACAAGTCCCAGCCTTGTCTTGCACATCTCCAACAAAGACAGTGTGTTCTCAGGAGCTCATGGCTTTTTCTGCCTCCAGACAAACTGCAAGACATTTCAACTTCTCCAATTTCTGACAGGCCTTCTCCCTCTCATACAGACTTTGAGACTCTGATCATCAGCATGGAACGAATGCTACACCCTAGTTCAGCATCTTCTTCCCAGCCTTCGTCAAGCTCAAATAGTCGTTATCAATCTCATGAGTCAGTTGGCGTGAGCTTTGAGACTTATACCCATTCTGTGGCTCGGATGAAGAAAATCTTGGTGAAATCTCCGACAGAAGTTGCTAGCTCAGTTGATCGCTTTTTGCTGCTATCCGCTTTGATGAATTTAAGGAACTGTCAACTTCTGAATTCTCAACAGCTGGAAATCGTTCAAGTCTACATTGAGAATTTTGATTCCTTAGTGACCAACAACCCATCTTATGAGCAGCAAATTGACTCGACTAGTGCACTGAAGTTCGCCATGGAAGATAACAAAAACAGAATTTCTGAGCTTATGAACCGTTATGAAGATCTTACCAGCAAGTCCAGCTCTCTTAATGTAAACAAGCAAGCGTTGAAAAGGAAACTTCATGAAATTGAAGTAGAAGAAGCTCGAATTTGCGACGACATGGATGATCTCCGCGCCCAGTTAGTGACAAGAAAAGAAAAGCTGGAGACACACATGAAAGTTCTCCCAGAAGCTGAGAAGCAACAAAGGGAAGCGGTGGAAAGAGCTAGCAATATCAATGACAACTGGGCTAAGATCCGAAGCTTATTTGCTTAAGCTTTAGGGCATTCCTTGTGAAAATAGTAGGTTTGCAATCTGTGTTGCCATAAATTATCTTTTGAATCTTCAAGACTCAGCAGCTCAATGTGGCTCCTGAATGGAGACAGAAAAGGCCAGAAATTTATTTTATTTTATTTTATTTTTATGAATGTCCATCAATATATTAAAATGAATAGAGCGAGCAAGAAAGTATCTAAGGAAAGAGTTTAGTATACAAGAAAAATAGACAATCTAAGTGATATTCTCCCAAAAATAGAACAGAGCTGAACTAAAACATTTATGAAAAATGAACTATTTGTTCGGAGGGTCCAACTGACGAGTTGTTGAAGAATTTATTCATTTTTTTTTATTTCATTTGAGCTCCAGAATAGATAAAATAATTATCAATATATCTAGCCCAATACACAACGTGCTCTAATTCTGAAATTCTGAACAATGTTAAATTCCATTATCAAGCATGCATAAATTATCAAGTGTATAAAAGATCTAAAAATTGGGACCCTATAAGACCAATTATTACTTGTTCAATGGATTACTCTGATGAAGAATATGTAGCATAGTTTAACAGGAAATTAAAAAAAAAAAGAAAACATGTAAGCAGGTTATATTAAAATTTTTGTGATTGTGATAAATCTAGCTTGGATTCAAATTTTGATTAATTAATCTAAAAAGAAATCAAACGGACGGTTCTACCATTCCATCTAGATGTATGGCGATATGCATGTATTTATAGACTTGCACTACTTAATTTATTTAATAAATTCCTTTTGTTAAATCAAACTTATATCATACATAATTTAATAATGCAAATAAAAAAATGTTCATGATCACCGCATTCATTCTCAAAAAAAAAATAATAATAATAAATAAATAAATAAGAAGAAAGAAAGAAGAAAGAAGAAGTCACATTATTATTTTTATAAAACTCGGATCATCATAGCTAGATGATACTATTTCTTTACTAGTGCTACGCTGCTGATTCGGACAAAACTTATAAAATTTTATTTTAAAAAATAAATTTAATTTGATGATATGTATTACATTATTAGTTAATAAAGTATATTAAATAAAAGATAAAAAAAACTATTTTTTTTTAAATTCTATGTTAAACAAAATATTTATTATGTTTTTTATAAATTTTCTCGCTAAAAAGAACACAATGTGTTCTTTTATATTCAAATTCTTAATTGATAACTTGTAATAAAAAGTCTAAAATTCATGTACTCTTAACTAAAAATTTTTCTTATAATTTTTTTCAAAAAAATCTAAGACAAATTATTTAAAAAATACTTTTAATCTTATTTTGTAAAAAAAAATTGATACATATATTATCATTTAAGAATAAAAAAATCTATCATATAGATTATAGTAAATTTTTTTAAAAGAGTAAATAACAATATTCTAGAAAATTATTAAAATTTTGTAAATAGATTTCTCTCTCCTCCCTCATCTCTTTTCATTTTCTCCTCTTAGTAATTAGTAACCAGATTACAATACAAATAAAGTTACAAATCGAAATAAAAATTGTTAAAAAAATAGAGGACCAAAAACCAACATAGCAAAACTTTACGTATAGAATGTCTAAAAAAAAACCCTCAAAATTTGTAGTTAAGGGTAAAAAGTAATGTATGCAAAATAAATGCATAAAAAACTTAAAATAATAAAAATTTTCTGAGTGTATGAATAGTCTAAAAATAATAAAAACCCCACCTTTTCATTTTAGGGTTCTTTTTAATATATATATATATATATATATATATATATATATATATATATATATATATATATATTTTTGGATAAAATATAACAAGAACTCTTAAAATTGAAAAAAATTAATTACACCATACAAATTAAGGATTACTTTCTTTGACTTATTTAGTATCTTTGACTTATTTACTAAATAAGTCAAAGAAAAAAATCCTTAATTTGTATAGAATCAGTCAAGCCCAATTCTTTTCTTTCCCTCTTTTTTTCGGACTGGGCTGAAATCAGCCTGCCAAATCACCCACGGGTTGGGCTAAGCCCAACAAAAAGACACAAACAAAACCCTTCTTTTTCTCTTTTTTCCTCTTCTTTCATGCGATTGCTCTCTCTCTCTCTCTCTTACTTCTTCTTCCTTCCTTCCTTCTTCTTCCTTTCTCTTTCTGCCTTCCATGGACGAACTAGTCCCTCTTTCTCTTCTTCTTCTTCTTCTTCTTTTTTCTATCTTTCTTCTTCTTATTTCTCTCTCTCAGCCTCATCTCTTTCTTTTTCTCTTCTTCTTCCCGATCCATGAAAGAAAGGAACCGGAGATTTCTAGTCATTCTTTCCTCCTTTCTCTCTCAATCCTTCTTGCCCTCTCACCCTAGTAATCTCTCTCTTCCAATTAAATCAAAATCCCGAATTGAAAATTTTCTCCAATTTGGTCGAACCCTAAGTTTTTTATTTTTCAATTTTTCCTTTCAAATGGGCTTATTGGCTTAATTTCTCTTGAGATCAAGCTAATTCAAACCTAAATGAGTAATTATTTTCAAAACCCCTAATTTTTATTGTTGTTGAAGATCTTAGAAACCCTAGGTTTCAATCTCATTTAATTCGGGTTCAATTCATGGTTTAAACACTAAATTGAAACTACAGCCATTACTTATATATGAACTTGAGCATATTTATCTACTGCCACTTTTATGTCCGCGCAAAGAAGGACAGATTTTAAACCAAAACTCATGTAGGTTCCAACTGCCACTTTTATGTCCGCGCAGAATCACTTTTGTGCTTAAAGACCAAAACCCTAAACAATTCTTTCTTTATCTTCTACATTAAAAAGACACAGCCTTTTCTTCTCTCTTTTTGCAGTAATATATAATCAGAAGCATAAGCATGCCTGCAAATTAAAACATTCCCGAGATCACGTATTACACTAAGCATATAATAGTAGACAACTTAAGGCAAATGAAGCAGCAATCCATAGAATTAACTGAAAAATTCATGTCATATCCTCATGCTTATCCACGCATCACAGACAAAGTCTCAGTAAGTAGATTTTCATAATGATATAAGCACAATTTAAAAACTACCGTCCCTGAGAGCAATCACAAGATTAAGCACAGAGCCACCCTCAATACTGTAGTCACGAGCAGCCTTGTCACCACCAAGCTGCTTCCCAGCATAAATAAGGCTGCAACCAGTGCCAACGGAAGGAATGAGATCATAGTGGACCATATCATCATTCGAGTGTAAGAAAGCAACAAGGTCCATGAAAGTGAAACTGGATGATTCTATAACTGAAGTCATAGAATAATATTAATAATGACGATGATTGAATTGCCTTGAATGCGTGGACATGAGACGTTGAGAACAACTAGCCTATGGAATACTCTTGTACGAGATGTTGGGAATTACTAATGAGTGTCTAGTACAAAAGATGCGCAAGTGCTTTTTCCATTCCATTCAAAGTTTCTTATATATCCATATTCCATAAGGACTTTGAAAAGGTACAAGCATGCACTTCACTTGAAGTCTGTCCAAAAGCAAAAAATCACATAAATTATTGTACCAAAGTGTTTTTGATCTTGATACATACATTGGGTGTTACTATGGTTCAACATTTGTACCCTTATCGATCTAGAGGAATGAGTTTGTTTTACAAGTTAAAGATAACATCTGCTTGTTCAAATAAAAATAAAATAAGATCACAATATTTACCATTAGTTGCACAAGAGGAATTCATTCCTTCTCCTCAACAAGCTCCTTCATGCGATGGATAGTGTCAGTAGGTTCAATGTCAATGTCAATTCTTTTCCATCAAGTCTTGACTCTGATCATGGTTCCTCCTCTAAGCCTCAAAACCAAGTAAAGTGTTGACTCCGTCTGAATGTTATAATCAGCAAGAGTCCAGCCATCTTCTGACAGCTTACGAGCAAAAATCAACCTCTACTGGTCTGGAGGGATGCTTTCCCTGTCCGGAACCATACATATCACTAATAGTTAAGCACCAACTCCCAACAAAATAAAAAGCTAAAAATCCAAATCTCAAGCAGAAAACTTTTTCATAAGGAAACAAAGTTCCAAAACATAACAAATTTCATACATTCTTTGCTAGTTAATTATGCTAAAGGAATGGCTTTGCTGTGGCTTTGCTGTCAATAGGTCCCATGCCATCGAAGAATTTGACACTGCCTCCATCACCCCATTTGTTCAGATATATGCAAGCCTCCACACACCAATGCATACTTGCATGGTGATGTTTTTCGTCATAATTGCATATGTACTAAAGTACCCAACAAATGATTTCCTACAACAAGATTGATTATGAAGAATTTACATCGCAAGCTTTTACCTCAAAAATCTTCATCCAACTGTGTGATCCCTTCAAAAGGTAGTTATGTGGGAATCTTTCTGAACAACTTATTTAACATTTCTTTTTTTTTTCTTTTTTTTTTTTTTTAACTCACACCCAAGGCTCCTAGTAGAACTAGCCTACTAGGATTTGAACCCTATGACCTCTTGTAAGAGACCACTACCACTGAGCTACAAGCTCTTTGGTCAACCTATTTACCAATTGCACCATCTTTGTTCAATGCTGTCAAATTCCTATGCCAACTGATTAACTAACCCAACTAATCCTTCAACAACATATAAATCGATTTACACTCACTGACCAACATTTTCATTCTTAAAGGAACACATTGATAATTTAGCTGGTGTACTCAAATTTGCTAGTCTGGAATGTCAAAGGCTTCCTAATGGAAATCTAGTATAGATATAGCGGTCATAAAACAATCAGTTTGAGGCACCCCACTCACTGTAGTTTATTGCATCCCAAGCCAAACAATCATTAAATAGCACCAAGAGAAGACATGTACTACAAAAATTGATATTTTACATTTATAGAATGCTCAATGTGAGGCATTGAGCTCAAAAACTGAAGGATTTAAACAAGTAGAATTCTTCATCAATTCAAGGTCTTTGATGAAGAGTACAAATTCCATCTAGAAAAGTCTCTAGGTACAAAAACTTGCCTGTTGAAGATATGACACTTCAGTGGAAAGGGCATGCTGGTTGGAGCTAGGGAATGCAAGCACTTCAACTCTTTCAACCCTACCAAGGTCTTTGGAGTAATCTTGGTATCTTGCAACATCAGCAGTTGCTGGCATCAATACCACCCTGAAGAAATCAAACATTTGTCAGACTTCCAAATAACATGACCCAGACAACTCAATCGCATTGTGTGACGTAGCAAATATAAGAGACAAATGTCCCACTCTTGTAGAAATTAACTACAAAGGTGAGAGCACGAGAGGAAGGAAAAAAAACATATATGAAAATAGCAACAAGTCAACAAACAAAGGTTTCAACCAAGCAATTTAGGATTGGATAATACAAAATTCAATAATTCAGAAAACATTTGTTGTACATGAGAAAGTAGGATGGGCACCTCAAGTCATTGTCTTTTAACAGCAACTGCTTGACAATGACAAAAAAAAGATCAAATTTAACATATCTTTCATGCACTTCATCAAGAATAATAGCCTTGTAGTTGAGTGCATTCAACCCTTCTTTTGCATTTCATCTAACAAAACTCCAGCTGTTTTGAAGACTATTTCTGATCTGTTAAGCAAAAAATAGTATTTCTAGTAAAGATCACCAGTAAGTGTTAAAACACACATTACATTCCCATGACCTCAATTAGGGTGTCAAACAGAAAGATATAACCTGCAAGAGATTATTCAAATAAGTTAATTATCAAGGCTCAGTCTAACTTGCTGCACCCAGACTATTACTTTAAAATCAAAAGTGAAAACAGCCTCATGTCCCCTTAGATCCCTATGCAAATTAATAATCCAATTCCAACCAAAATCAATCATAATATCTCTTTTCAAAGAATCAGCTCCATTAACAAAACAATATTGCCATTATTCGCTCTCCTCTAGTACGAACCAGAGCATAGTTTTAAATTCCAAAGGATAACTCTATAAAAGCAGTGAAAATACATGGGAGACAAGTCAATAAAACAATTTTGCCAAATACAGCATTTACTACCCAATTTCCAATTTCAAACATAAAATTAGCAACAATTCTAAAGAACAATTTTAATTTTCACTTTTGTTTATTAAAACCAACCCACCCACCCCCCCCCCTCCCCCCCAAAAATCTCACAAATTTCGTAACCTGAAAACCCAGATCTCAAAAAATTCATAACCTGAAATTACTATTCAAAAACTGCAATAAATACATATATGAAAATATTCGATTTAGAATAGTGGTCGGATACGAGCAATGGTGGCTTGCTAGAGCTATACTATGAGAGAAGAGAGAGAATGCGAGACGAAGACAAGGGAAAAGAAATCGGAAGTACCTGAAGAGGAAACTGGTCGGAGCAGCGGAGGTGTTGTCGATGACAAGAACTCTAGCTCCGGCGAACATGGTGCATTTTCAGGACTATCATAGCATAAAACGCCGCAACCTAGTCACGATTAAACGGGTTACAAATTTGAAGCTGGATAAAAAATAAGTTTTCGTCACGTCAGGCCCTTCAAGGCTTCAAAGCAAAACAAAAAAAGTTTTTATTTGTTGCTTTTTGAGAAAAACGCGGCAGCCCAGTCACAATCATTTATTTTGAATAAAGCTAGCTAATGCAGCCACCTACGCGCCACGTCAGACCGTAAAAGTGACCTTGAGCTTGGAGTCAACTGTTCTTCTTTTTTATTCCTATGGTCCGCAAACATCTCTGTACCTTAGTATATAATAATTAAGATTACAAAATAAATTAATTACAAAAGCATAACAATAAAAACACGAAATTTAGGTGACAAATCTTCGGAAAAAAAAAACACAATATCAATTCCGAAAACTCAGAACTGAGGCAAGTCCAGGTGAGATATGGTTAGCTTAGGTCAGCTTGTCTTTGAGACTGCAATCTGCTTGACAAGTTGCTATTACTACAAGTGCAGTTAACCTGAGGATCTTCAGATCCCAACTTGCAATTTGAACGATTTAAGTAGTAACTTTTGGTGAAAATATTTATATTTGCATATATAGTGAGGTGTGAAGGTTTTCTATTCTATTTGTTTCTTTTCTGGATTTTATAGCACTCTTTGGCAGTGTGATAGTCTAAACTTCTTAGGCCTAGTGTGCACGATGATCGATATCTCCTCCAAAAGAATAGCTATCTGTTCAGCTAAATCATGAATGTATCGGCTCTCTCTGTAGCAGAGGTAAGCAATTATGATATAAAGTTCAGTAAACTCTTTAAATCTGTTCAATAGGTACATCAATTTCTCCTTTCCATAAAACGCCTTGTATTGTTCCTTTTCTGTTCACAGAAGCATGGATTTCTGATATGTGGTTTCGTTCTAACACATAAATTGATAGAGCTAGCTACAATTCTGCAATACAGTAGCAGTTCTCAGCTTCAATTCTGTGGAACTGATATTGTGCATGTTTTCTTGTATATTCTCTGTATCGCACCCATTATTAGTGTATTTTTTCTCCCCTTTGTATGTCTAGGGAATCCCTATGATTATGGATGTGGGATTGATCTATACTTGTGTATAAGCAAGATCAGTTTCAATGAAAGAGGTATAAAAACATATTCTTCTACACTTGTCATGGTATCAAAGCTGGTCTGATCCTGTTTTTCTTTGTTTCATTATTCGAAGACAAATCTCAAAAGGAGTTTGATCTCAGTTTCTTCTTCTTTCATTAACCTATAGTCTTCTGTATCAATCTATTATCCTTTCAATTTTTGGCGCAATGTCAACCAAAACTCAGACAAACTCCCAGAAAGATTCATCCATTTCAGCCATTTCAGATCCTACCAGTCCATATTTTCTTCACCATTCTGATAATCCTTGGACTCCTCTTGTGTCTCGTTTTAACAGGAGAGACAACTATGCTACTTGGAACCAGGCTATGGAAATGGCCTTGAGTGCCAAAAAGATTGGGTTTCGTCAATGGACCAATCTCAAATCACCTAATTTCTCAATTTCTAAACTTCTTCATATCTAAGAACCAAGAAACTCCATCATGGTCTACTCCTTTTGATTGCTAGCCCTAGTGCACCGGTGGTTGATATATTACACCTACGTATCGAGTTGCTCATTAAAGCGTACATGCATATATCTTATACAAAGCTAATGATACATTAATTTCTAAATCTTGGCATTTATTTTCTATGAAAAAAAAAACATCCATCTTACCAAATAATCTATCAAAATATTGAAATTTGAAAATTCATATATCATACAAATAGATATTGAAAACTTACTTACGTGAGTCACTCAAAACACAATCAATCCATCATACATCTATAATAATATTAAATTATTATTTTTTTAGTTTATTTATATTATTTTAAAAAAATAAAAATTTCAAAAAAAAAATCGAAAAACTAAAATAAATTCGGTGCAATTTTATTTTTTTAATAATTTTGAGTTCAATTAATATTTCGGTTTGATTAAATGTTTTAAATTTAAAACAATAGTTCCCTCACCTAAATATTGTTATTCTTTATATATATAAAAAAAAATTCAAAAAACTAAAATAAATTCGGTTTTTTTTTTTTTAAAAAAAAGAAATCCAATGTTGCATAATTATTCTTCTTTGTTATCGGGACGGAGGTGTGATAATGAAGGGGCTATAGTGCTAAGATTTTTTTTTTTTTTCATTAGATTTAATCAGCCTTTTTTGTTTCTTTCCTATTTTCATTTCACCAAGTGCCCAAAATGCAACTAAATCCAGTCAAATACTAGAAAAACCATTCTGCATATCCTGAGATCTCAAATGCTATGCTAATTATACAGCCTATTGTTTTTAACTAATTAATAACAGCCATTACTTATATATGAACTTGAGCAAATTTATCTAATTATACCAAAGCTATACAAAAGAAGGCTCAATTTTAAACCAAAACTCATGTAGGTTCCAATTGCTACGTACTTTTATGTCCGCTCAGAATCACTTTTGTGCTTAAAGAACCAAAACCCTAAACAATTCTTTCTTTATCTTCTACATTAAAAAGACCGAGTCTTTTCTTCTCTCTTTTGCAGTAAAATATAATCAGAAGCATAAGCATGCCTACAATCATCTATTTGGCTTTCTGCTGAAAATATGAAACTTTGAATTGTGGAAAGAATTGAGTGTTTAATTATATATAAAAATATTTTGAAATCATTTATTTCTTTTTCAAACCAAAACAAAAACAAAGTTTTTATCCTTTTCTTTTTGGAAAAAACGCGGCAACGTAGTCAAAATCATTTAGTTTAAACAAAGCCATTTAATACTGCCACCTATGCACCTCGTCAGGCCCTTCAAAGCAAAACATAAACTGTTTTCATCTTCTTCCTCCTGGAAAAACGCGGCAATACAGTCATGGTCATTTAGTTTAAACAAAGCTTCTTTATCGAAACTCCGTTATTATTGGCTCTAGATAGCAAACAAACAAACTACGGTGACCATAGCTTTCGCAAACGTTACTGTACCATAGCTTCTTTCCCATTCATTAACCAACTACTCTCATAGAGATAGATACCCACTTTCATTCTCTTGTGACTGACTCTCTTTGCTCTTCATTCAATCAATCTTTGATGAATCTCTAAAACAATATCACTGAAAACGTTCTTATTTTTAGTTTGAGGTACGTCCTTCGCTTTCACTTGTCCCTTCCTTTTTCAAAGTTGTTTGTATTTTCTGTTTTTCTTTGTATCTAATCATTAAGAAGAAAAAAGAAAAAAAATTGCCTGCTTCCTTTAATCTTGAATTTGTAGAACTTTTAATCATTCTCTCTTGCTCTTTTTACTTGTATCCAGTCTTAAAAGATACGAAAAAAAAAAAAAAGAGCATTGGTTGCTTCATTTTCTTCTTGATTTTATAGATTCTGTATTTAAGCTTTATTTTGCCAGTAAACTCCGCCAAAAAAAAAAAAGAAAAAAAAGAAAAAAGGGTATTGATTTTTTCATTTTCTTCTTGATTTGTTAGATTTTGTATTTAAGCTTTCATTTACCTGGAAAAAAAAAAAAGGTGAGAAAGGAAAAAAGAGAGAAGGAAATCCTTAGGAAACGAAATGGCACAGGATATCGTTCTTGCCGTTTTATACCCTATCGTTGACAATACAATTGGTCCCATTAAAGCACACATTTGCTATGCTTTGTATTGCAAGAGCAACCTTCGAAGTCTGAAGGAGGAAGTTGGTAAGTTGAAGAATGAGAGAGAGAAGTTGCAACACTTGGTGGATGAGGAAAGAAGAAATGGGAAAGTGATTGAGCAGGATGTTGATCGGTGGCTGCTCGAGGTGGATAGGATCATTGAAAGCAGGGAACGGGAACATGTCGGGGATGAAGATCGAGCAAAGAAGAAGTGTTTTGTTGGATTGTGTCCAAATTTCAAAACTCGCTACCAGCTTGGCAAGAAAGCAAAGGGGGAGTTATCAACGGTTACGATCAAACTTGAGGAACAGACCAAATTTGGTTCAATTTCCTACCGTGCTGCTCCAGCAGGGACGAGTGCTATGTCTGTCAAAGGTTATCAGGCCATGCCATCAAGGATTCCAATTTTTATGGAAATAATGAACGCCCTAAAACTTGCTGATGTGAAGATGGTTGGAGTGTATGGAATGGGTGGTATGGGCAAGACCACGTTGGTGAAAGAGGTCGCTGTAGAAGCCACGAAGACCAAATTATTTGACCAGTTTATTGTTGCAACTGTAACCCAGAACCAGGACATCACGAAAATCCAAGGGCAAATTGCAGACCAGCTTGGCCTAACATTCAACGAGGAAAGTGAATGGGGAAGAGCTTGTCGCTTGCGCGATAGGTTGAAGAAAGAGAAGAAGATTCTTATTGTTCTGGACGATTTATGGACGAGACTTGATCTAGATGCAGTTGGGATTTCATTTGAGGATGAGCAAAAGGAATGCAAGATACTGCTAACATCGAGAGAATTTGATGTTCTATCGATCGGAATGGATGTTCAAAAGAACTTTCGACTTCGTAATTTACAGGAAGAAGAAGCCTGGGACCTGTTCAAGAATACAGCAGGTGGCAACGTTGAAAATCCAGATGTGCAATCCGTAGCCTTGAGGATAGCAACGATGTGTGCAGGTTTGCCCGTGGCTATTGTAACTATTGCAAAGGCTTTAAAGGATAAGAGCTTGTTTCAGTGGAAGGATGCATTGCGAGAGCTGCAAAAACCGTCCCCTAGAAACTTTACAGGAGCGCCAGGAGAAGTCTATAATGCCATAGAACTAAGTTATAAGCATCTTGAAAGTGAGGAGTTGAAATCAACATTTCTTCTTTGCAGTCGAATGGGCTACAATGCCTCAATTGAAGACTTGTTGAAATATGGCATAGGCTTGGGTTTGTTTCTTGACGTTGCAACAATAGACGAAGCAAGGAACAAAGTGTATTCATTGGTTCATAAACTCAAAAACTCCTGTTTGTTGCTTGATAGTAAAACTAGCCAGCAATTTTCTATTCATGATGTTGTTCGTGATGTTGCCATATCAATTGCTTTTAGGGACCGTGATGTATGTGTGAAGAGTTCTAATGAGGTTGAATCCCAATGGCCTGATAGGGATTCACTGAAGTACACAGAAATCTGGTTGCATGGTAATAACATTAGGCTTTCTGGAGATCTGAAACACCCGTTGCTCAAGGTTTTCAGTATGAACTGTGAGGAGCCCTCTCTGGAAATACCTGGAAACATCTTTGGGGGAATGCAAAAACTCAAAGTCTTGGGCTTGACCAATTTTTCTTTGCCATCCCTACCTTCATCTCTTCATTTACTAAAGAACCTCTGTTCACTGTGCCTGCATCAATCTTCACTAGGAGAGATAGCCATTATTGGGGAGCTGAAAAATTTAGAAATCCTTAGCTTTGTTAAATCTACTATCAAGCATTTGCCAAGAGAGATAGGGGAATTGACTAAGCTGAAGTTATTAGATTTGAGTGATTGTTCTGAGCTTGAAGTGATTTCACCAACTATTATTTCAAGATTGTCCCTATTACAGGAATTGTGCATGGGTAATAGCTTTCATCAATGGGATATTGGACCGAATAATGTTAGTCTTGTTGAGTTGGAACATTTGTCTCGCCTGACTAAATTGGAGATACATATTCCTGATTCCCGTGTTATCTCCAAAGACTTCTCTAAAAACTTGGAGAGATATAGAATAGTGATAGGAGGTGATTGGAGTTGGAATCGGAATTCGGATGGTGTTTGTGAAACCTTAAGAAAATTGAAACTGAATTTGAAAGAAAGCACTGATCATTTGAAGCATGAGATTTTGTTGTTGTTGAAGAGAACTGAAGATTTGATTTTACTTGAGGTAAATGGTGTTAAGAGTGTCATTGAACTGGACAAGGAAGGTTTTCTACATCTGAAGCGCCTCCGTGTGGGTGATAGTCCTGAGGTTCAATATATCATTGACATGATAAATGGGATTCCTTCTAACATCCCTCTCTTTCTCATGTTAGAGTATTTGTATCTTTATAATTTGGCATCGTTAGAGAAGATTTATCTTGGAAAACTCAGGGCACGATCTTTCGGCAAACTGAAAATCCTACAAGTGAGAAATTGTGGTAAATTGAGAAGCCTCTTCTCGTTCTCCATGGCACTAGGCTTTTTGCAGCTTCAAAGCATCACAATCACTTCTTGCTGGAACATGGAAGAGATTGTTGCTGAGGAAAGTGAAGAATTTGACAACAAAGCAACCAATGTGACGGAGTTCACTCAGTTGCGTACCATGTCATTAGACAATTTACCTCTTCTCAGAAACTTCTGCTCCGGACAGAAGACATCTTCCCTATCTCAAACACATCCAAAGTCAACAACAAGTGGCATGGAATTGGGAGAAATGACTTTGGAGGATGATATGCAAAGTCCTACACCACTTTTCGATGAAAAGGTATTTGCATATCCTTCTTTACATATTACATAGTAATTCAGAAAATGAGAGCAAAAATGATAGTTTTGGATTATTTGAAGAAGATTTGTCTTGTTTGTTTGTTTGTTTTTTTTAACGAGAGTGCTCTCATTACCTTAGGCAATAGTGGATATATAGCTTTCCCCATTCCAAAGTTCCTTCTCATCTCTATTAGGATTTGAACCGAAAACATCTTAGTAGAAATCCAAGCCGTAACTGCTAGCCTATATATATCCATTTCAGTTTGGTAATTGACGAAATGTCAGAAGAAGATCATATGCGTCAAGTCATAATATGTCATGATATATCCAACGGTTCCCATTTCTATTCTTGGGAATTGAGTTTTCCTCCAGAAACTCCACCTAGCATGCGTATTGTATAATTTTTGCCATGTTGAAAGCCTTCGCACATGCATAAAACATCAGTATTAGAGAAGAATCTTAAAATGCAAAGCCACGCAAAACCTCAACAGTATTAATTGCCATCAGTGGAAAATGCTGTGGATTCTAGCCAGCAATTCCTTATTCCAGGCCTGCCCCTTGGTCTCGTGATAGGTTCATGCCCTTTTTTTTTGCTCTAGTGATAGCGGGCATTCTTCTTGCTATGGAACAAAAATCATTTCATTTCTTTGAACTAGAGAATAGTACTGTTCTTGATGAAATAAAAAATTGTCCATGCAGATTGTTTTTCCGAACTTGGAGGTTTTGAAACTGCGCTCAATGAAAATTGAAAGGCTATGGCATGGCCAGCATCCAGCAATTACAGCTTCCATTCAAAATTTACGAAGATTGGATGTGTCCGAATGTGGCAGTCTGAAATATATATTTTCCACTTCTATGGTTAAAGTCTTGTGCAACTCGAGCATCTTAGCGTTAGGAATTGCGAGTCCTTGGAAGAGATAATAGTAACAGAAGCATCAGACGGAGAAGAAACAACGAGTAAGATGCTATTTCCGAAACTAGGAGTCATTGTGCTCCGGAATCTTCCAAAACTCAAACAGTTCTGTACTGGTTGTCTTCTTGAGTGTCCACTGTTAAAAGAATTGACAATATCTATCTGTTCTGGATTGGAGACATTCATCTCTGAATGTGGAAGCTTGAAGGAGAAACGCCACAGTGCCATACAACCTCTCTTTAACGAAATGGTGACTTCTTTTTTTCGTTTCTATTTTCCCCTTTCGTTCCTTCCATTTCCCTCTCTCTCTCTCTCTCTCTCTTTCCTTCTAACTTTATTCTATGAAAATAATTAATTTTATATTCTAAAAAAAAATTGTTACTTTTATTTTCCACCAAAAGTACATATGTAATAAACACTAATCATTTGATTAAGGTCCAAATAATCAAATAGTAAGTTTGCAACTTCGTTGGTCAACAAAGAAGACATGGGCCGAATCAAACAATGACCCGGCCTTGTTTTCCTTTCCTTATGGTACTTTTGAAATGGTATTTTCGATCTTATAAATGAAAATAAATCAACAAAAATACAAATTCTTCACAAATGGGTATAGCCCAAAAAAAGTAGGAGGCCCATCATCCGAAATCTGCTTTCAAAATAATATTGAAACGTTCCTTTGGTATCGTACCTATATCCAGTTATTACCCAACAAAGAAAATAATATTGCAATATAAGAAACTAATTATTATTATTATTAATGTTAAAAGCTGTGATGATATTTGAACCAATTTATATTTGCAGATAACGATATTTATTTTTAATTAGAATTTTTTTTTATTTGTAATACCAATGGACCCGTGCCTACTATAATAAATTATTTGCACCTATAAAAAGATTATGAATTCAATTTTTTTTCAAAAAAAAAAAAAAAAAGATGTCTAATTGTAAAAGGAGGCTAAAATGACCTCTCACTTTGCAAGCTGGCCAATTTAATCCTTGTCCTGAAAATAAAAATATGGAGTGCAAAGTTTATTGTCTTTGTCAAAAAATATAAATAATTTTTTCATGTCACTATGATTTCTATTTTACTATATAGCTTTTGAATAATTCTGTCTTGTTTTCCTACATCTGCATTCCTGTTCCTCTACCTCGTGTCGTGTACAATCTTCTTCGATCTGTCTATTAATTTGTTCAATTATTGTTAACGAAATGGCATGGCTATTGGCATGTTGCATTCCCTAGCTTAACTTCAATTCGTATCTCTTCCATCGATAACTTGGAAAAGATATGGCACGATCAACTGGCTGAAGGTTCCTTTTCTGAACTAAGATCATTGAGTATTAATTTTTGCCATAAGCTGGTGAATGTTTTTCCATCAATCTCGCTAAGAACATTCCAGAGACTAGAGGTGCTGCAGATTGAGAATTGCAATTTGTTAGAAGAGATATTGGAACTTGAAGGACCGAGTGTTGAAGGAAGTAATTATGCTTCTTGGGTCTTTCAGTTGAGAGACTTGACCTTAAGAGGTCTACCCAAATTGAAGCATATATGGAATAATAATCCTCCAGGAACACTCAGCTTCCAGGATATACGTGCAGTGAATCTTTGGCGATGTGATGATTTGAAGAATATCTTTCTATTCTCTATTGCTAGAAACCTTCCTCAACTTGAAAAGCTTGGGATAACGAACTGTGGGGTGGAGGCAATTGTTGCCAAGTCAGAAGATGATGAAACAGCCCCTCTGTTTGAGTTTCCTCAGTTAACTTTATTGAAACTTAACAGTCTAGGAAAATTGAGGAACTTCTATCCAGGGAAACATACTTTGGAATGTCCAATATTAAAAAGGTTGGCGGTGTCTGGCTGCCGCAGTGTAAAGTTATTCGGTTTAGAATTTCTTAATTTCCAAGAAATTCAAGTGGAAGCCCAACATGATAACCCAATTCAGCAATCCCTCTTTTTTGTTGAAAAGGTATGAATTTACATTCCTCTTTTAAGGTAGTAGATACTTTCAACTTCAATATGTATCTTTTCTATAATTGATTACACCAGTTGATATATATATATATCAACTCTTAATTATGCTTTTGATTGGTGAAATTTGGTTATACTAACTCTTAATTATGCTTTTGATTGAGCGATCTGCAGGTGATCCCCAACTTGGAGGAATTTTCATTACGTGGTCCATACACCAATAATGCTTCAATAATGTGGCACTGCCAACTTCCTGCAGACTTCTATTCTGAATTGAAAGTTCTAGAGCTGCACAGTTTTAAGAGAAAATCAGATCGTATTCCATTTGGTTTCCTACAAAGACTGCGTAATCTGGAAACACTCACTGTCCAATCCAGTTCTTTCAAGAGGCTATTCTTGAATGAAGGAATTGTTGAGGAGGAACATAAATGGAAGCCTGCAGAGTTCAGAAATTTAATACTAGATTCAGTTTATGACATGAGACATTTATGGGAGCAAGACCACCGACTGGCTCCACTTCTTCACAATCTCAAGTCTCTAAAAGTAAACAACTGTCACAGCTTGGTCAATTTAGCACCATCCTCTGCCTCTTTCCAGAGTTTATTAACTTTAGATATGAAGTTTTGCAATGGATTATCAATCTTAATAACATCCTCAACAGCCAAAAATCTCGCACAACTGGTCAATTTGACGATAGGTGATTGCAAAATGATCACAGAAATAGTGGGGAAACAGGGGGATGAAGCAGAAGATGAGATTGTTTTCAGCAAAATGGAATGTTTGCAACTAACTAATTTAAAAAGCCTCACAAGCTTCTGCCCTGGAAATGACACCTTCAAATTCCCTTTATTGACAGAAGTGTCTGGGCAACGATGCCCCAACATGAAGATTTTCTGTCCAGGACTGTTAAGCACGCCAAAGCTACAGGGAGTACGGGGTCCTAGGAATAAAAAGTGGTGGCAGGGTAACCTTAATGCTACTATACAACAATTGTACACAGAAATGGTATGTACTATTACTAAATAATTCTTGCATCATGAATCTTGCTCAACTCTTCCCTTTATTTCTTTTAACTATGAACACGTATTTTGATAATAGCTTATGCTTTAACTTAACTAATGCAATAATTTGGTTCGGGAGATTGGATTCAATGGTGAATGGAGGTTGCAGCTCTCTGATTTTCCCCGTTTGAGAGAGATGTGGCATGACCGAATGCCCTTCAACTCCTTTAGTGGTTTATATGAGCTCATAGTGGATGAATGTGCATTTGTCTCCAACGCCATACCATCAAATCTGCTTAAGTTGATGAAGAATTTGGACAGTATTACTGTGAAAAAATGTGATTCTCTTGAAGGAGTTTTTGATTTGATAGGACTGAATGCTGCAGAAGAGCACCTTAAGCTGTTGTCCAGATTACGGGAATTGCGCTTGATTGATCTACCGAGACTGATGCATTTATGGAACATGGATCCTCAACGAATTTTGGACTTGAAAAACCTTCGATTTCTGCAAATCCAAAATTGTGGCAGCTTGAGAAATATATTTACACCATCCATGGCATTTGGTCTTGTGTAACTCAACGAGATAGAAATAGGAAAATGTGCCATGATGGAAGTAATCATCACAAAAGAGGGACAAGATGAAGCAGCAGTGGATAAAATCTTATTCCCTTCACTGAAAGTGATTGTTCTCGACTCCTTACCCAAATTGATCGGTATATGTTCAGGTACTGCTATTCTGGAAATTCCATCCTTGGAAAGGATTAGCATAGATAATTGTCCAAATATGAAGGCATTTGTCTCCTCATTTCTAAAGGAACAAGAGCCACATTTCAATCAAAAGGTCAGTTATTCTTTGATGCTATTTCAGAACTTACTATAAAACCTTACTTCCATTTAAGTGTTAACATCATAAATTTTTGAAAACAAATTAGTTTATCTGATGCTCACCAAAACACAGGGCCATTTGGTTTTTGTTTCCCATGTGAAAACCACAAGTCTAGCGAATTCTAGTTGAACCCTAACTCATACTTTCTTGTGTCTTGAATTTGGTTTCCCAGGTTGCATATTCAAACTTGAAAAATTTACGAGTGGGATGGAATGATATCGTGGAGGTTATACAGCATGACCAATTTCGAACAGAGTTCTGCTGCAAATTGAAAGTTCTTGAGCTGGTGCACTTTCCTAGTGACTATGTTGATTTTCCATTCCATTTTCTTCGAAGATTCACCAATTTAAAAAATGTCGTTTTGAGTGATGCGGCCTTCAAAGAAATAGTCCTGCATGAAGACACGGATTGTTGTGCAGTTAAAACAATTAGAGCTGTCTAAACTGCCGAAACTCGTACATCTGTCGAAGAAAGATCCAGTCTTTTCAGATTTTTCAAAAGCTGGAAACTCTAAAAGTGCTGGAATGTGGTGTAGTGAAAATTTTAATGTCGTCCGCAATATCTTTCCAATGTATACAGATTCTGGAAGTGTCAAATTGTCATAGATTGATAAATTTGATGACTTCCTCAACAGCTAAACAACTTGTGGAGCTCAAGAGGATGAGTATAACTAAATGTGAAATGATTGTAGAAATAGTGGCCAGTGAGGAGAATGAAGTTGAAAATGAGGTTGTTTTTCACAAATTGAAACATATAAAGCTCTATTCTTTGCCAAGCCTCACAAGCTTCTACTCGAGGAACTGTGCATTCATGTTTCCATCCTTGAAAGAGGTGCTTGTGGTAGAATGTCCCAAGATGAAATATTTTGCTCCAGGAGTCATAAGCACACCAAAGCTGGATAGGGTCCTACTTACAGAAAAGGACAGAATAGGGTATTGGGAGGGTAACCTCGATGAGACTATACGAAACATATTCATGGATATGGTATTACACCAATACATAAATAGTTCTCGTGTTCATTCCAATCTTTTCCTTAAATTACTGTTTCTTTACTTACCTCATTTCAACTATTTTGCATTCTGCAGGCTGATGGATCGACACAATCAAAACTGCCAAGCTCGTCCAAGCAGCTCACCTGCGAGACCACTGATGATAATGAACCAAAAATTGTGTCTGAGCGACTAGCTTCTGAGGATTTGCCTGTCACTAAGAATCCAGATTCCATTAAAGGTGCCTCCATAGAACCTGAGATCGCTCAATTGACCTCATCTGCTCAAGATATTCATGCAACTTCAAATGAAAAGGTAGTTTTCTTTTGTCTTGGAACAGATTCCTTGATATGAGTTTAAAGTGCCTACTCCCAACTGGATGCAGGAAGATCCTGCTCAAGGTCAAAATTCCTCGACTCCTGTGGATATTGAATCTCACATCTCTCTCCAAGTTCAAAAAGATCCTCAAGCAGCTGATAAGGTAATTTTCCCTAATCAAATTGAGCCAGTTGTACTCTTACTTCAAGCTTCTTTAGAAGATGATGATGATTTACCTAGTATTTCCTGCTTCTTTAATTCAGCAGATCAATTTGCCAGCTTCAAAAGGCCAAGATTCTTGGGCAACTTCAAACAATCAGGTAGGTCTCATTTCAAACCCAAAGCAGATATGTTAGCATGATTCTGAATTCAAACAGCATTGTGAATGCAGGAGGATGCTTCACAAGAAAATTTCTCGACTCCAACGAGTGCTGAAACTTACATCTCTACTCAAGTTCAAATGGATCTTCCAGAAATTGATAAGGTAATTTTGTTGGTGGCAATAAGCCAGTTATACCCGTCTTTGTTTTCCAGACTATGGCCCATGTACAATTACCAATAGGGTGAATTCTCGCAGGACCAGATTTTGCATGCTTCTTCAATTGAGAATTGCAGCAACTTAGTCCCTACATCTCCTGCAAGTTCTGTTCAACAAGCCCCTGCATTGTCTTGCACATCTCCAACAAAGACAGAGCATTCTCAGGAGCTTATAGCTTTTTCTGCCTCCAGACAAATGCAAGACATTTCAACTTCTCCACCTTCTGACAGGTCTTCTCCCTCTCATACAGACTTTGAGACTCTGATCATCAGCATGGAACGAATGCTGCACCCTGGTTCAGCATCTTCTTCTCAGCCTTCGTCTAGCTCAAATAGTCGTTATCAATCTCATGAGTCCATTGGTGTGAACTTTGAGACTTCTACCCATTCTGTGGCTCGGATGAAGAAAATCTTGGTGAAATCTCCGACAGAAGTTGCTAGCTCAGCTGATCGCTTTTTGCTGCTATCCGCTCTGATGAATTTAAGGAACTGTCAACTTCTGAATTCTCAACAGCTGGAAATCGCTCAAGTCTACATTGACAATTTTGATTCCTTAGTGACCAACAACCCATCTTATGAGCAGCAAATTGACTCGACTAGTGCATTGAAGTTCGCCATGGAAGATAATAAAAACAGAATTTCTGAGCTTATGAACCGTTATGAAGATCTTACCAGCAAGTCCAGCATTATTAGTGTAAACAAGCAAGCATTGAAAAGGAAACTTCATGAAGTTGAAGCAGAAGAAGCTCGAATTTGCGACGACATGGATAATCTCCGCGCCCAGTTAGTGCAAAGAAAAGAAAAGCTGGAGACACACATGGAAGTTCTCCCAGAAGCTGAGAAGCAACAAAGGGAAGCGGTGGAAAGAGCTAGCAATGTCAATGACTACTGGGCTAAGATTCGAAGCTTATTTGTTTAAGCTTAAGGGCATTCCTTGTGAAAATAGTAGGTTTCCAATTTGTGTTGCCATAAATTATCTGTTGAATCTTAAAGACTGAGCAGTTCAATGTGGCTCCTGAATGGAGCCAGATATTTTATGAAGGAATTCTAAAGAATTCAAAAAAATCCGTCGTATCTCTGGATCCAGTCCTTTCTTTTTTATTATTTTCATTTAAACAGTAAGTCAGTAAGTCCTATCTCTGGATTCTTAACAACATGCTTTAATTCCGAAATTGTAAACAATGTTAAGAAATAAAAGATCAATGTTAAAAACCCTATAAAAGATGTTAATTTCGAAATTCTAAACAATTTTCATATCCATTATCAAGCATGCATGCATTTATCAAAGTGTATAAAAGATCTAAAAGTGGGACCCTCTAACATCAATTATTACTTGTTTAATGGATTATTTTGATGAAGAATATGCAGCATAGTTAACCGGAAATTAAAAACATGTAAGCATATTTTTTTCTCTCTTATAGCTGATTCAAAGCATTGTTGCTCATATTAGAAAACAATATGAATCATGTCTTTAAGATTTCACAATCACTTTTTCCGAGGTATCAAAACTTTATTAATCACACAATCATAAGTTCAAATCTCATCATTTTCACTCTCTTTTAAGTAAACATTAGGTAATGATAGGTTTATGTAAGTTTAGAGCTCAAAAAACTTTCACTTAATAAAATATGTTAAAGAATAATTCAAATTATATCTTAAAATCCCACTTAATAACTAAATTTTTTTAGTTGAGTTGATTTTTTGACAGTTTAGAAATAAACATTACAAGAATCATAAAATATCATTCAATGATAGATATCTTTTTGGTGGTGAATCTGAATCATTATTTTAAGAGTTAATCCTCAATGCATTAGCTCTAGCTATTTTGAGAAGTCATATTTGAAACACCTGACTAACTTGTAACTTCAAGAAATTCAAACAGTGTAGGCATCCATTGACAACTTCTTTCCACTTCCATACTACTATCTCATAAAAAGTAACATCCCTTGAGAGTACTAGCTGATTCTTTCAAAGATTAAAAAGCCGAAAGCTTTTAGACTCATCACTGTATCTAATAAAGATGTATTTCTTGCATGTTTTTATTAAACTTGTCTCTTTTTTGGGAAGAAACAAGAACATAAGCAATACAACCAAAGATTTTAAGCAAGCTTACTACTCGTTCGGTTATATCAAGTTTCAAATGGTGTTTGATTTGTGAATTGTTTTTGTTGGAGAACGATTAAAATGTAAGTTGTCATGTTGAAAGCTTCAGCCCATAATTTGTTAAAAAGGCCTTTGCCTTTAAGCATGATCCATGCCATCTCTTCTATTATGCGATTCTTTCTTTTTGTCATTCTATTTTGTTGAGGAGTGTGTTTCATTATAAGCTAATTCGAAACTCTATTCTCCTTGCAATAATCAAGAAAGGACTTATATGTAAACTACTTTTCACAATTAGTTCTTATAGTCTTCATCTGACAACCATTTTATCTTTCTAAAAGAGCTTTAAGTTACAAATAATAATAATAATAACAATAGAGAAGATATCTGATTTTTTTTTATCAAAATTGTCGTTACCGACATCTAACGAAACTCCCAAAAATTTAAAATTTAGGTATTTTTTGAATTATCTATGATTTCTTTTGGTGATGTGAGTTGGTCTAAAGATTCCAGGGTAAAAAGTTGGTTATGCTTTTAGAAAGATATTGATCACAAAAAAAGTCACTTCATAAGAAAGGTACCACATCTAATTTAGTTCTAAAATTATCTTTTTTGTCAAAACATTTTTTTGTCAATTTTCTTGTTTTTATTTTTCTTTTGTCAAACTAAGTTTTTTATTTTTTATTTTTTGGCATCTTATCGAACCAATTATTGGACCCCTTCATCAAGAAACACTTAATTTAAATATCATATCCACTTTAAGTCTCAATATAGCCGTTATGTCGAAGTATGTTCTAATTACTTAGATGATTTTTTACTAAAAAGAGTAATTATTAGATAGGAAGCTTTGTTAAAAAAATATAGGATTTTTTATTTTTGATTTTTTCTATTTTCAATTTTTTTCTTCTATTTTCCTAGTACTCTTTTCTCTTTTTTTTTTTTTTTTTCACTTTGGTTACTATTATTATTTTTTTATATTTTTTGTTGACGAGAACTGTCAATAATCTCTACAAATTAGAAGACTCAATAATTTGTTCACTTATTGATTACCTAACCTAATTATTAAAATAAATTTTAAAATTAAACATTTTGCTAAATAAATTAAAAAATCCAAAATATTTAATCTAAATTAAACAAGAATTAAAAAATGCCTAAATAAACATTCAGGATCAGTTTGTCTAAAAAAAAATTAGAATTAAAGCATCTAGCTCTCTTCTTTTTCCTTTTTTTCTTTTTGGATCAGCCCATTGGGCCAAGGTTGCTGGGCTGGCCTGCCCTTTCCTCTTTTGGGCTTGGGCTGGGCTGAAACCAGTCTAAGCTTTGACCATTCGGGCTGGGCTTAGCCAAACCCGCTTGAATTTCCCAAGCCCAGCCCTTTTCCCTTTTTTCAACAAAACCAAAACTTAACCCATGTAACCATTTGTTTTTACACCAACCCAAATTAATCAAAATTAAAAACTACCTTTCGTGTTCTCTCCTTTCTCTGTGTCTTCCATTTTTTAAACCTTCATCGAAATTGCGCAACCCCTTCTCCTTCTTCTCTTTTTGTTCAATTTCTCCACAGCATTCCCTAAATTCTCTGTTTCGATTCAACCTCAATAACAAACCTTGAATTCTTCTCTCGCGAACTTCCTACACAAACTCCACAGTCAACAGTGACCTCGTTCTCCTCCTATTGCTTCTGGCTTTTAGAGCTTGAGAGAGAGGACTCTTCCAATGGAGTTATAGGTATGGAAAAGATGTGGGTTTTGGGTTTGAGGGAGTAAATTAGCTATGAGCTCATGGTGAAGGGAGGTTGGGGTGACTGTGTGGTGTGGCTTGTGGAGAGGGTTCGCGCTAGTGAGTGCTAGCAGTTGGATTTGAGGAGGAGAACTCTAAGAGTAATATTGATGTTGAAGCAATAATGATGTTTTGTTGTACTTTGCTGCTTTGGGTTCTTTTTTCTTATTATAGATGGATGTTTATAGGGATGTTGGGAATAGGGTTGCACATAACTCCCAAATCTGACCACCAAGTGTTTGGTAAAGTTTCTTTATTACTCCTGCATTGAATGTATCCTAAACGCAGAGGGTCCAGTGAAGGAGTTTATGTTGATTAATTTCTGATTGTTGAATTGTTGGTGGTTAAGGACAATGATAAAGCTTGATGGCAGTAAAGGAGTTTTGAATAGAGGGCGGGACTACTGTTTGTAATGATCAGAGGCTGCTGTGATGGTTGTAGTCCCAGTGAGTTTCGGTCGGTTTGTGGCTGCAATGGTGTTTGACGGTTGCAATGGTGGAGGTTGATGAATTAGGTAAATGGAGGAGTTGGGTATAGCTGGATGTGGATTGAGGCTTTGTAGTCATTTCTGAGAGGTCTGTGAGGTGTGAAAAGTTGATTGAAATGAGGGGACTTTACAGGTTCAGTGGTGAGAGGGGTGTGAAGGGTTTATGGCTTATAGATTGGAATGGAAGGGGGCTTGAAAACTGATGGTTTTGGCTTTGACTTGTAGATTGGAACGAAAGGGGGTTTGAAAATTGGTGGTTTTCGCTTTGGCTTATACATCGGAACAGGACGAGGCAAGACCTTTAGGATTGGAGGAGGTTTGTAGATTGGAATAGGAGGTGGAAGTGGTTTCTTATTGTGAGGGAGATTAGTGGCAATGATTGGGATAGGCTGCTATTTTGACAGAGATTGATGGCAGTGGTTGTGGGTCTAGCAGAGCTAGTTTTTTCTTGGTTGCTTAAGGTGTGGCAGTGGGCTAGAGAGGGACAGTGGAGTTTGCAGGCTTGGTGGTCGGCTGCCATGGAGGCGTGAAGAGGCTACTGTGCTTGTAGAACTGAGTTGGTGGTTGGTGTTTTGGGACTTGGTTGGCACCTTTATAATGGTAGAGATAGATACTAGTAGGTGATGATGATAGGAGGTTTTGGTGGAGTTTTCGGTGGGGTGAGGGACTTGGGAATGAGTTTATGGTGAAGGGATATTGGGGTGTGGCTATGGGAGACACCCTTTTTACAGTGTAGGTGACTACCAAGCTTTTATTTTTTGTTTTGGAAGATGAAGAGTGGTTAGGTTTTTTTTTATTTGTAGAGACTAGCGAGGGTTTTTTATGGGTTAAGAAAAATTGTGGAGGCCTGCTAAAATAAAAGGAAAGAGTTGCTTATACAAGGGATTTTTAGGGCTGAGAGGATCTCCTTAATCATTTTTTTTTTTTTGTATTTTTTTTGTGTATATATATATATGTGTCTTTTTGTTTTTTTTTTCATTTTTTGTTTGTTTTTGTAGTAAATTTCAAAATAAAGTAAAATGAGATTAAAAAAAAATGAAACAATAAAAACAAATGAAGGAAATTTTGGGTTATGACAAAAATAATAAACTCATATCATTATGGTTTGGTCATCAATAAAAAGCAAGAAATATTTCTTATTACTTAGAGATGGAGTTCAAGTTAGCCCATAAATATCTGCATGTACCCGAAGTACATTTGCTCTCCAAATTGTTTTCGAAAAAGAAAATCAATGTATCTTCCAATATATGTAGCCTTCACAAACTCAGTTTTGTTCTAAACCGAAGGAAGCTCATGTACGATGTTTTTTTTTTTTTTTTTTTTTAGCAATTGTGATTCATTAAAATTCAAGTAGCCATATCTAAAGTGCCACATATAAGGGTCATTAACTCGTTCACTTCTAATTATAACATTATGAAGTGTTTTCATGCTCAAATAAAAAATATCATGCGAACCCATTTTCACCGATGCTTTTTTTTTTTAAATTAATGCTAAAAGATTTTGACCAATGCTAGGATAATAAAAGCATCATAGATGTGTTTGCCATTATCTCCATTAGTGTGGAATCCAATTTCTCCTCTTCTTTCAATAATCACCTTTTTACTATCACCGAGTTCGACACGAGAGGAATAATTTTTATCAAGCTCTATAAAGGTTGTTTGATCAACTTTATACAGTGATTGTAACTGCTATCCAAGTGCCATACATCTTTAGCATGATGCTCAACATTCGTGCAAGATTAGAACAATTGATCATCATTTTTCAAAAAATTAGTTGCATTTTTATCTCAACTACTTTCTCCTTTATCTTTATGTTAGTAATTTCTTTTGAAATGAGTAGGAATTTTGCATTTGGTCCATTTAAAATCACTACAAAAATCTATTGAATTAGCGATGGTCTAATTCAGGAAAAGCCATCACTAATGTAATTTAGCGACCGTCCAAAGACCGTTCCTAAAATGTTAGTCATTAAATTTTTACGACGATTTTTGAACCATCGCCAATTTTGCGACGAACTAAACCGTAGCAAAAAAAAATCATCGCTAAATATGATAGTAAACCATGGGAATATTTGAGACGGTGGAAAAAAACCCTCAATAAGTTCGTCGCCATTTAACGATGGAATTAGTGACGGTCTACAAACCGTCGTAATTTATTTAAGATTAGCGACAATCAAAACCGTCGCTAATCATCTTGATTTTAATTTTTTTATCACCACCAATTTAAATATCTAAAATTAACCAATTGATATTTAAAAAATCTACTAAATATCCAAAACATAATATTTTAAAATTTCATAATTATTATTATAAATTATATTAAAACGTAATAAATATTATTCAATTATTAAATTCTTGAAAATAGTATAAAATTTATTGTTATTACAAGAAAACATGATAACTAAGAGAAATTACCGGAATCGTCACTTAGAGGTTGGGTGGAATCATCTGAAAGTTGGGTGGAGTCGTCGTCAATCTCGGGCACGACGGATGAACTGCCACCTTGCTGAAAATGTTGTTGGAACATCCGTTGTATTTGTGTTATCATCGTATGTTGATGTCGAGTATACTCCTTCAACTCATTTATCGTAGCCAACAATGATGTGACATTACCCTCTAGCGATGTGACAATACCCGTACATCCTAAATCTCCGTCGTATTTGCGGATGCTTGATCATGGACTTCTTTTGGTTGTGCCTTATCGGTAGTATGGAACCGTAAAGTTGTTGAGCTTGAGGTTGTATTGACGTTAGAGTAATAGTGAGATGTGTGTGACTCGAGTCCGTACATCTTCTTCCTCTTATTATCTCCTTCACCAATGGCCTTCTTAAAAATCTCATTAATGTTGACGTTGGTCGATGCAATCCCCCGACCGTAGACTAGCAACCTTCTCATCATTTATTAATCTTTCTACGAGTCTCCTCCATAATTATGAAACACATAATATTAAATAGTTATGTGAAATAACGTTTCAAATTAATATATATAAAATAACGTTACAAATTAATAACTTATGTTGATAAATCTTAACCGTTGATCAACGAAGACATACCGATCATCAACCTTTCTCCGATGAATCCTCAAGAAAACCTCATGAAGATCGGGTTCATGACCTAACACCTCACGCTGAAACTAATATACGTAAATGTATTAAATATATTCAAATATTTAATTAATTATTTTGGATATCATTACAATATATATACCATGCGTATAGCGTGCTCTTTATGGCTAATCGATCCCCTCGTATGTCTTGAAGGATCGGCTCCGACGCCATCGGTCTTGCTCTTGCGGTTTCGCGTTGCCATCTCGGATTAAGGAATGGCCTTGGGTTTTGCTCATTTTGTATTCCATGCATCCCATATGTCCCGTGAGAAAAATATTGGCTTTTATTTTCTCTTAAGACGATGAAGAAAGTCGAATATCGCTTTCGTGCTAGACTTTCTCACGCTTTCTTAATCGTGCTCTCATTGATATCATCATCCCACGTAAATGATTTCCGCAAAAAAAATAATAATATTCATTAGTAAATTTATTTGGATATTATTATTTTTCATTTAAATATGAAGTAATATAATAAATTAATTAAATAAATTAGTACCTTAAACTCTTTTCGGTAAAAGTTTTTTGTATCTTCGGACTCATTTTCTTCCACGTCCATCTGAAAATATAAACATACTCCTGGAATGTCTTAAAGATCATGTGAGCATAAATATTAAAGGGATACAACCTATGAAAATAAACATTAATTTAAAAAATAAATGAATACATAATTATGGTAATAAAAAAATGTTTCATAAAATTAAGCATAAAACGTACTCATTGCGACCAATGATAATGACCCTAACTCGTGAGTCGAGCATCAATCGATAGGTTTCGAAGCCGATAGATGAGGGACATTCTATGACGGGACATGTTCGGGAACGTAACGATTGTCTTGTTGTGATGACGAGGAAGCCGACGATGACGAAGGAAAAGATGGGGGGAATGGAGATCCATAATAAGGATACGGCTCAGGTCGAGACATGTCAAGCCTCGAACGGTATATCGAGGGGCACCAAAAGAGTTGTACAAAGGCATGTTTATAGGGGGCCCATCTAACCGGGAACGGAATGAGAATGGCATCCACATCGACAATCACTACCTAAATCGATATCCGAACCGTGACCCTCACCATATGACATAGGCTAATGTATCCTAGAACGTCCCATACCTCGAGTCATTATGACCTACACATTATTATATTCATTACTATTGAAATAAAATATTCATAATATAATAATAACATATAACATTCAAATTAATATGAATAATTTGAAATATATTTAAATAACATGAACACATAAACATATATTTAAATGTTACCTTAAAAAAATATATGTAAACTATATAGGACAACAAAATCATATACCTATTTTTTTTATTGAGTAGGGACGATACCCCGGAGATATATTGAAATAACGTAAAAAATTATATGGGGGGACAAAACCAATCTAGCCCAATAACCTAGGAGGACAAGGTTGCCTAAACTCTTAATTTGCTACTGAAATTACATAAAATCCATATGGACAATTTGTCAATTGAATATAAAAATTAATATTATATAATTTAATAGGATCTATCATATCGCTAATCAGTATCATGGTCATCATTGTCACATTCTTCATCTAAGTTTTACTCAACATCCGTTTCAAACTTATCTTTATTCTCGTAGATTAATTTCACTTCCTTCTAAATCTAGTAATGCTCCAGTTGGATCAATCAATGACTCACCTTTATCATCATCAACTTGGATGACATTATGTTGACCTTTCATTTTATCTTTTTGAAAGGGTTTGATATTTGTTTGGTTGACGATAACGGACGATTATGACACATCCATCGTCGACCTAGGTTTTACCTTACATACCGCCAACCAATCGCATCCGATATGTTTCGATATAGGATATGTTACATAATGCACCTAATGTGCTTATGATGCTAGTATTAAGGGATCGGATCTATTTGAAGACCTACGACTATTGACCTCTACTAGTCCATAATGATCATGAACTATTGTGCCGATGTCAAGTGTAGTACCATAACAATCAAATTTGAACAAAATGGTTTTCTTGGTTGGTAAGGTAGGATACTCAAGTTTGAGTATATCGGTTAACCTACTATAGTAGTCATTTTTCACTACATTATAGCTAACTCCTTTTACACACACTCCACTACACATTGATGCTCTCTCCGAATTATGAATATCGATGTGGAACTTATACTCGTTCATATATACGACTTAGCTATTCTCAATAGTCCATTTGCTAGATCTTTAATGTAATGATCTCGTTATCGTATTAGGTTATGCTTTACTTGCTCGTAAAGATCGGATCTATTATAACTTAATGTTAGTATAAAATTTGATAAAATTGTATTTTTCATAATTAAAAAAAAAATATGTACTTTCTTGTACCGATATATCGATGGAACCGGGATGGAAAATCGGTTTCAAGTCGAACATCTACTCATTCTTTGATATGTTGGGGTCGCTTTCATAAAGTTGAGTGATAAAATATCCGAGGAAGAAAAAAATTCTTATTATTTGTTATTAAAATGATTGATACTTAATAAAGTAATATATAGT